TCAGTTATAGTCAGGAGGCAGTCTGAGGGGTGGGCAACGCAGCACGAACCACACAGCGGCCCGGGGGTGACAACGGAGTATCAAAGGGATGAGGTGGGGACCCCCCTGGGACACCCAATAGAGGAACCTGCCAACACGGGCAAAGGGACAACACAGAGGATCAACCTGACGCTCCGGACCAGGAGGGAAGGGGAACCAGAACCTGAGAGGAAATGGTCCACCAGAACCCAATGCCGTCAGTAAACCCCGGGGACAGTCGCGGAAGGAACCCGGGCCCGGAGCGGAACCTAACAGGTCCGGGCCGGGGAGAGCCGCGGAAGGAACCCGGAGCGGAACCTAACAGGTCCGGGCCGGGGACAGTCGCAGGAGGAACCCGGAGCGGAACCTAACAGGGCTGGGCCGCGGACAGTCGCGGAAGGAACCCGGAGCGGAACCTAACAGGTCCGGGCCGGGGACAGTCGCAGGAGGAACCCGGAGCGGAACCTAACAGGTCCGGGCCGGGGAGAGCCGCAGAAGTAACCCGGAGCGGAACCTAACAGGTCCGGGCCGGGGAGAGCCGCGGAAGGAACCCGGGCCCGGAGCGGAACCTAACATAAGAGGTCCGGGCCGGGGAGAGCCGCTGGTCTACATGGGAGGCCCTCGTCCTAACGTCTCTGACCACTAGAGGTCAACGGGACTAATGGAGGTCACCCAACCGGACAACCAACCCTCCAGCACCCTGGAGAACCCAAAAGATCCAGTCACGTGACAGAGAAGAAAGAACAAAGGCCGGCCCCAAAACTGGCGGGACATTTCTCTGGAGACGGGGGAATCCATTCTACGCGGTCACACTGGCTGGAGGCGGGGCTTATATATCATTTATCGGATGACCCTCCTGTAGGCGGCGGTATAACCGTCTACATCTGAACTCCTGTGTCCCGTCCCTCCGTGGATGAGAAGTTCTTGATTTCCGCCACCAATCCCGGGACACTTCTCTGCAATGCCGAGAGGCTGACTCCTCCCACAGCTTCCTACTGGCCAGCGCTTTGATACCCGCCCCTCGTACTGCAGGGAGGAGGAGCCAGAATTTGGGGTCCCGGGATTCCAGCTCCGGATTGGTTGCAGAATCCTGAGAAGACATATCAGAGGGACCCCGGGGGCCCCCCCCGAGGACTGACTGGAGGGTCACTGGGACCAGTTCACAGACTTCCAAGTTTTGTCTCGGGACAATTTGTTTGGTAGCCAATTAACTGACGGCTCCGCCCCCGCAGCGGGAATAAAGTCACATGACCTCATCTCCCCACAGGCTGACCATACACACACAGTGAATGTGACTTTCGCACGACATTCACTGGTGGTGAAGCAATCATGTAGCTGGGAGATTCACCCCCGTACTGCGGGTGACGTGCATGCAGGAGGGGCGCCGAGCCAGGACGTGCTGTGCGGCATTCCTCGCTGTGTACGCCAGACGCGGTCACACCTCCCAACTCACCAGAGGCCGATCGGGGACACGCTGATGACAGGTAATCATGGTGAGAAGTAACATGCGTGTGTCACACAGAGCGAGGGATAGGCGTGTACATACATGCAGACATCAGACTGATATACCCCCCTCCCCTCCCCCCTGGGGGACGCAGAGCCCCTCACATACAGGGACTGATATACCCCCCTCCCCTCCCCCCGGGGGACGCAGAGCCCCTCACATACAATGACTGATATACCCCCCTCCCCTCCCCCCGGGGGACGCAGAG